ATGTTCCTGTTCTTTCCTACTAGGAGGTTAAGTTACTGGGAGGATGGGGGTTGCAGAAATGTGACCCAGTCTCACCCCCTAAAACCACAGGCTTAGAATATGTTGGGGGTTGGGGGCCACTTGACTGGGACAAAGCACTCACCTGCTTTCTCACCCTTTCTCACCTCTGCTGGAAGGCTTGTGCTGGAACAAAGTGAAACCTAACGTACTGTAGGCAATGAGATCTACTCACCGCAAGCCCATGCCCAGATGCTTTATCAAGTTGCTTAGGGAGACGTTGTTGGCATTAAAGGGTTTCCTCTTCTCTGCAAACTCATGAGCCAGGCAGATGCGCCAGCCAAAGGGAGGCACCTGGTAGCCCTTAGCTTTACCTTCATAGGATGCCATCAGTTGCCCAGAGTCCTCCGGACTGCTGCCGCCCGGCTCACTTTGGGGTCGATTGTCTTCAGGGCTCTGGAGGTCTGTAACCTGCTCAGCCTCAGTGCCTCCAGCATTTTCAGGGCAATAAACCTGTGGATCCCCTTTGGCACACCTAGTCTGCTCCGAGGCTGGGACTCCAGTTCCCATGTTCCCTGGATCCTGGGTCCGCACGACCTCGATGGTCCCTGGTCCCAAGTCTTTTGGTACAAAATACCTCGCCAGCCAAGTCCAGATGCGGGCAGTTGTGGTAGTTAGGTGTCGTCTCGGAGAGCCGGGCGCTGGGGAAAGCCGAGGTGAACTGGTGTCTCTGTGGAGCCTGGGAGCTGTTGTTGCAGCGGTGTTGGCGGCGACAGCAATGAAGCCGCCTCGGGCTCCCCCTCGGTCGTCTTTCTGGGTCCTGGGAGGGAAGGGTCGGGCCTCGTCGTCATTGGGCCGCGGTGATTAGCTTGCCCGACCAAAGAGCTACCGAGTCCGCGGAAAGGGGAGGAGCCCCGGGGGCCAGCCCGCAAGGAACCGCCCCCGGGACCGGCCTGGTAGCTCTCGGCAGCCTCAGCCTGGTCCCCTGGCCGTCGCGCCAGGCCCTTCCCTGGGTGGGACGCCGGGTCCCGCCGGTTGGTGTCTGGAACAGCGCCTGCGCCCAGGTGCCAGCCCGTGGGAAGGTGACCCAAGGCTGCAGGACTACCCGAGCCCCTTCCGGTTGGGCCGGCCGGGCGTTTCCGGCCGGAAGGCGCTCTGTGGGGAAGGGGGGCTGAAGGGAAGTCCCGCCTCTGTCGCGGACGCCGCCACGCACTTGGCCCTGTTCTGGAGGGGCGGGCAGGTGAGGGCCTCGGTGTGCCGAGACCCAGTTTTCGACCGTGCGAGGTGCCCGGGCTAGGGGCACGAGGTGACGGGCAGCGGCGGCCTTGGGCTGGGACGTGGAATCTGGAGGGAGGGCGGCGGAGGCGGGTTTGGAGGTTCGGGGGTGGGTGGTAAGGGAACTAACTCGGCGCTAAGAGGGGCGGGGGTCTGGGGCCCCGAGCGAAGTCCTATCTTTACTGAGTCAGCTGCTACCCGTACTTGCCATCCACCTCCCGCATCCCAAATCCAGATGCTTTTCCCAGACTACGTGGCGGTGACTGCCCGTCTTCTCTGTCCTCGCCCCCAGGCTCGCCGCAGACGCCCCTCCCTGCCATGGTACTGACCTCTGACACCCCCACCCCCGTTTACCTCTAGTTCTCATTCCGGAGCTGCCATGATTGAAGTGGTAGCAGAGCTGAGCCGAGGTCCTGTGTTTCTGGCGGGGGAGGCGCTGGAGTGTGTAGTGACGGTCACCAACCCCCTGCCCCCCACGGCCACTTCTGCATCCAGGTAGGGATGCAGATACTGAAGAAGTTGGTTCTTCTGGGAGAAAACCTGGTATCTATACTGCTAAGCCAGAGCTCAGGTTGTCGTGTAGCTACACCACCACTTTCTTGCTTATTGTGTTCTCTTGTAGGAAAGGGCTGTTTAACAGAAGATGGGATTGACAGGGCCCTCCACACGCCCTTCCTTTCTTCTCCCCCATTCCCGTTTCTACCCATAGTGTACTTCTCTTTGTCTGATGGATTCTCTTTGGGGTTCTAGATTCCCTTACTCCTAGGACAGTCACTTGGTCTGATGGTGTTGGTCTCCTCAGGGGGATAAGGGAGCTTGGGAGAATATTTGTGAGGTCAGGATCGCCCCTCTGATGCTTTTCTTTTCCTCCTGCCGTAGTGAGGCTCTGGCCTGGGCCAGTGCCCAAATTCACTGCCAGTTCCATGCCAGTGAGAGTCGAGTAGCACTACCTCCCCCTGACTCCAGTCAGCCAGATGTCCAGCCAGAGAGCCAGACTGTCTTTCTGCCACACCGAGGTTAGAGATGGGCATTTGCCTTTGGAAGGGGGCGGAGTCATTGCCACCTGAGAGTGAATTTGTTAAATTGTTCTAGGGGGTGCTTCTAGTCTTTGTCATATCGGAGATGTGGAGGAAGGTATTTGTTAATGTTGGGGGTATAAGACTGATCCTATCTTACAATAAGAAAAGAGGGGTAGCTTACTTTGGGCTGCCCTTTGTTGGCAGTGCTTGTGGCCCCCATTGCTGCGCTAGCTTCATCCAGTACTGGACAATGGGGTCATTAAATTGCAGGGTTTTTTTTTGTTTTCTTTTGTTTTAATCTCTTTTAGGTGAGAGAGGTCAGTGTATCCTTTCCACTCCACCAAAAATCCTTTTCTGTGATCTGAGGCTAGATCCTGGAGAGTCCAAATCATGTGAGTGACTGCCTCCTCCCCACCCCTGGATTGCCTTCTAAGGCTCCTGGAGGGAGGACTTCTCTGGCTGCCTCTGGCTGCCCTGACTACTACTTCCCAACCAGACTCCTACAGTGAGGTGCTGCCCATAGAGGGACCACCCTCCTTTCGGGGTCAGTCAGTCAAGTATGTCTACAAACTGACCATTGGCTGCCAGCGTGTCAACTCACCCATCACTTTACTCAGGGTTCCTCTGAGGGTTCTTGTGCTGACGGGTAAGTAAGGATTTCTGGACGAAATCCAGGGCTGGGGAAGAGCCTCACCAAAGCAGAAATGATCTAAAGAGGGCTTGTGGGTGGGGGGCTGGAGAAAGGCTTCCTGGTCTCAGTAAAGGTGCAGGGGGGTTGGGGAGGGAGGTTCTGGACAATAAGTTAAGATGGGTACCTGGGGCATGGTTCCCATTACCTTCAGCCTTCACAGGTTGGAGTCTAAAACCTAATCTCTACTGTCCATTCCCTCCTAGCAATATTTTCTGCTCATTCTCTCTGTAGGCCTTCAAGATGTCCGGTTTCCCCAGGATGAGGCCGTAGCCCCATCTAGTCCATTCCTGGAAGAGGATGAAGGTGGGAAGAAGGATTCATGGATAGCTGAGCTGGCTGGGGAGCGTCTCATGGCTGCCACATCCTGCCGCAGCCTCCGTGAGAATCCTTTCACAATTGGCCCCCCCAACCAATCCTCCCATAGTATTATAGATTTTTCTAATTGCCCATACTTCTAAGGACTCACTGATATCCCACATTATAACAAAAAGCCCCACCTTGGCCTCTGGCTCCCAGCCCTTGATACGCTCCAGTGTGGACTCCACGCTTATAGTGTCCCATTCTCCCCAGATCTATACAATATCAGTGATGGCCGAGGAAAAGTTGGGACATTTGGCATCTTCAAATCTGTATACAGACTCGGCGAGGATGTGGTGGGGACCTTAAACTTAGGGGAAGGAACTGTAGCTTGTTTGCAGGTGAGAAGGAAAGGGGCTTTTGGGGTGCTGGGCTTGGAGGGCTAGGGAGGAAGGAGAAGGGCCTGCATAAAGAGGGGTGGTATATAGAAGTGAAGAGTGTGGTCACCCAGGGTCCTCTTGGTAAAAAAGCTTGAGGTTGGGCTCAAGCCTCTCATCTAGAGTCCGCACTTCCCAGTGCCTGCTAGCACCCACTTCTCTTCTTGCTCCCAGTTTTCAGTAAGCTTACAGACTGAGGAGCGTGTACAGCCCGAGTACCAGAGGCGCCGCAGGACGGGGGGTGTCCCCTCCGTGTCTCATGTGACTCATGCCCGGCACCAGGAGTCCTGCCTGCATACAACCAGAACCAGCTTCTCTCTCCCCATCCCTCTCAGCTCCACCCCAGGCTTCTGCACAGCCATTGGTGAGATCCTGACCATTATCGGAGGGGGGAAGAGAGTAAAATGCCCTATTTCTCTGGAGTGTAATGGGTCCTGATTCTTAACAAATTCCTGGCCATACCCACACCCAGCCTTTGACCCTTAACACTTTCTCTGATCTTTAGCCTATTTCCTAGATGCACTGACACTTAAGCTTTTAAGAGCTTTGTGGGTGTTCTTCCTTCCCCTGCCCACTGTGACCCTGTGGCACATTGATCTCTGATGCTCTAGCATGTTTACGTCAAGCTCCCAAGTCCTGACTGTCCCATGCTGTGGTTATTAGGTGCTTGACCTTGCTGTCCTGATTGTCACATTTCTGGTTAACAGATTTCTCTAGAGAAACCCTTGATCCTAGCCCTGTGGCTTTTCCTCCTCTTCCCGAATACTGCCTTTTTTCTCATTCAGTAACCACATCCTGTACTCGTTTTTACTCCTGGCTTCTAATGCCTCTGCCTTTATCTTTTTTTTCCACAGTGTCCCTGAAGTGGCGATTGCATTTTGAATTTGTAACATCACGAGAACCAGGTTTGGTGCTCCTACCTCCTTTGGAACAGCCTGAGCCTGTCACCTGGACAGGGCCTGAGCAAGTGCCCGTGGACACCTTCAGCTGGGACCTCCCCATCAAGGTGCTGCCCACAAGCCCTACCCTGGCCTCATATGCAGCCCCAGGCCCCAGCACCAGCACCATAACCATCTGAAAATGGATTACCGTGACACTATCTTTCTTCAGGATACTGAGAACTCAGCACCTGGACTCTAGTAGGACCCATTTTTCCCATGTGGGGTCCAATGACATGGACACAAGAGGCAGGCTTTCAGCTGTAGCATTAATTTATTTATTCAGAATAAATTGGCAGCTGCTAGTGGTTTCCCTGGAAGTGGCAGCAGCAGTGGGCAGTCAGCAGAAGGGTGATCAGTTGAGTTTAGCTGGAGTGGGGAGCAGGAGCCCCAGGAGCAGGGGTGTTAGCTGAGCCCCATTCTGGGTCGGGCCCTCCTCCTTTGCAGGGCAGCCGAGGGTCAGATTTTTGCACCAGGGAGAATTGGCAGGTTCCTGCCTCCTGACGTACCTCACAGCCTGCAGGGAAGTCGATGGGATGCTGGGACCTGGGGAACCAAATGATCGGAAAGGAGTCAGCACAGTGAAGGGCCACCTTTGTCCCTGCCCCACACTTCTCTCTGCCAGCATTCCTCTCATATCTTTGCCATATCTTTAGTGCCCTCTTGGTCCCCCAGCCAAGCTCTCACCTACCATATATGGATTTTTTCGTTTCACAGCAGAAATACTTCCCCTCCAGACCCACCCCTACATCCCTCACTTTGTAGCCTGCAGCCTTATCTCTCAAATTCTTGTTGGTAACTTCAGGTTCAGCCTGCCTCGTACCTCTGTTCTGTTCATTCTCACATCACAGCAATCTGGTTACACCCTGGCCAGCCCTTAGTCACTCATGTCAGAGCCATTCTCTCTGGCTGTCTTTGGTCACTCACGTGTCACAGCAGCCCACACCGACGGGATGCAGACAGGTACAATGGAAACAGTCCTTGCGGAGCCAAGACTCACCCAGGGTAAAATATTTCCCTTCATAGTGGCAGGGGGCTAGGGAAGAACAGGAAATGTTAGTGTGTTGGGGATTGGTGGTGGCCGACAGAATCGCTTGTGGTCTGGAATGGGAGAAAGTAAGTGCATATTGCCCCCATATTTAGTCTCTCCTGTTTCCAAGCTGGAGGGAGTCTGGGTATTCTGGTAGAGGATCATCTCTAAGCCCCCTCGCCCCAGCTCCCTCTGTCCTTGTCCTTTCCTAATGCCTCCCCCAGCTTTACCTTGAGCTTGAAAGTAGCACTTGCTGTGGACTCCTGGCTGCTGGAGGAGCAGAGAGATCACCAAGCAGATGATCCCCCGGCTTCCCAGGACCCCCTTCGCCTGTCCAGCCCAGAGCATCCTTAGGGTCATTCCTGTAGCACAGCCCTCGCGATCCCTTCTTGGCCTCTCTTCTGGTCTTGTCTCTGGCTTTTCTTTTTCTCCTTCGGTCTTAGTTTCTGTCTTTCTCCCCTGGGCTTCTGTCTCACACCATCTCCGTGCCCTCTGCTCTCACAGGCTTGGGAATGTTTATAAAGTGAGGACCCTGGCCCCCTGCTGAGTAGAGCTGGAAAAGCTGTAATTCTGTTTCCTGAGGTGAGGGCATGAAAACAAGAGGTCCAGCTTTAACAAGCTGTGAGAGCTGATTCATGCCCAGGCACAGCTAGGGGGAGGGAGGTGGCCATGGAAGGGGCACTGGACTGGGCATTTCCCCAGCAAGGAGGTGGGAGGGGGGAGGGCCCCCAGGTGGTCCCCACATCTCTTCCCTGACCTGGAGAGAAGGAAGCATTCCACCCTGCCCCCAACACACATACACACTCCAGGGGTGTGTGTGCTGGGATCCTTGCCTGGACCGGAGGGAGGCATTTCCTGGGGATGGCTAATCCTGTGCCCCAGCCAAACCAAGGAGCTGCAGTAGGGTGCAACAGCCAGAGGCTCCAGGAGAGTGAACAGGCACCTGGAGCGCAGAATATTTCTCTCAGACCCTACGGCAGAATCTCCCAGAAGTATCCTAGAGACATGGCTGCCCCTCAGAAATGGGGAGGCAGGTGTCTCTTCCACAAGCATCCTGAGGATGCATTGTTCAGTACCTCCAAACACCCAGTAGATACACGATCTTCCCATAGCTGGGGGTGGTACTTTCAAAGAGGAACGTCTTCAAATACCCAGGCGATATGCGTCACTCATTTCACAGAGGTATGCCGCTTTCCTCTTGTACATTATGGAATGAGAATTGAGGAATCCTCTGACATCCTCCTTCAGGTTCGAGAGACTCCCAAGGTGGGCGGTTAAGAGCATAGGTTATAGAATCAGACTAGTTGGATTCAGATTCTGTTTCTACTTAAGACTGTGACCTTGGGCAAACTACTTCACCTCTCTAAAACCTGTTTCCTTATCTTTACATTGGGATAGTAATACTAACTCATAGGGTTGTTAAGAAGCTTTCAATGAGGTAATACATGTAATGGTATTAGTACTGTCCCTGCCACATGGCCCCCAGAAAATAGTAGCTGCTGTGATTGGTGCTAGAGTTCAGAGACAAAATGGGTACAGTCCTTTGTTTAAATCACATTGAGCAGCTCTGCATAGCTGAGGGCTTCTGTTAGGGGCTGCGGTCTCCTGCCACAGACATCTGCCCTTTTCGCAGTTGTGTTCCATGTCACCCTTACCACCTCCAGTTTGAGAAACAGTGTTGCTGATAAACCCACTTTTCCTAGCTCAGTCCCCTCACTTCTGCCCTGGGAAGAGGTGTCCTTTTCTTATCCTTCCAGCTAACTTGGGGGCTCCAGTTTTCATGTTAGGATTCTGATCCATTGCTGCCCATCCCCACTCATGTGAACTCTCAAGTTCTTCTTTCTGACCACTCTAATGGGGGCCATCTCTTTGCTACTAATGGCCCCTCTCTCTCAGTCTGCCACACTCCAAAGACCCTATCTGAGATTCCCCTCCTACGCTAATCACTTTGACATTCTATTTTTCCTTCTGAGTCTCCAGTCCCTTTTACTGCAAAACTCCCATTCCCTGTCACCCAGTAGATCAGATAAGAATACTTCTGGCTGACCTTTTTAGAGGGCCACCCTGCCTGACCTCTTCACCATTCAGAAACACAACTTCATCCATCCACCTCAGATTCCCTGTCTGTCCTCTTCCAAGTAGATAGCTTAAGTGGATGGAGATGCCAGTTGTACCACATGTTCACCCTAGTCAGGTCTGATACCTTTCTATTTCAGAGGAGTAGTAAGAGAAAAAAGAAGACTCAGTGGTTGAAGCAGGGTGCTCTGATGTAGGCTGGCATGTGGGAGGCATGGCCCTGGACTGCTCTCTTTGCTGCAGGAGATGGATGAGAAGGCTTTCTAGCACAAGGGCCCAGAAGTCTTGTCAGTGGTCAATAGCTCTGCCGCTGCCTTTCTGGGGAAGGGGGACAAGCTGACACCCTGGAAGTCTGGACCAGTCTTTTGCTCCTGCAACCTGGAACCAACCCAGTAGGGGGCAGACACGACTGGGAAGCTAGGAAGCTTGAAGGTGGTGATGATGCTGGAAGGCAAAGGGGGCCCAATGGGGATTGGTGTGTGAGGTAATGGGGACAGAAGTGAGAGCTGCCTGTAACGAAGAGAAGGTAGGCTTATGGGCAGGAGTAGGGGCTTCTGGAAAGAAAGGCTGGGGCTGAGCCAGGATCCCTCTCTCAGAAGTTATGGGGCTGTGGGTGTCTGGAAGGTGTTGGTTGAACCCACTTGCATTCCAGCTGGTGGGTGTGCTCAAGTGTGCGTTTCTGTAGCTGCGCGGGGCTGGAGGCCACGCTTGTGGTTGCTCTGTGTGTGCGCGCTTGTCTGTTGGGGATGTCAGTGTTTAGGGTCCAATTTTGTGATTCCTGGGGCAGCGGTGGTTGGGGGTGCCAGTTGCGGGGGGCGCGGGGAGCGGCCGGGAGGCTGTGGTTGGCGCGCACTGCCTGCGAGCGCGGGGACAGAAAAAACATCCGCCGGAGGCCCGGCCGGGCGGCGCTCCAGCGGGGCCCGGCAGGTGCGCGCGGAGAGGAAGTGAGCGTATTCCGGCCGCTGGCCCTCCGGTGAGTCACTGCCGACCCCCGCTGTCTGTCGCCGGATAGGAGGGACCCGCCGCGTCGGGGAGATTTGGGTGGCTGGAGCCCCTGAGGGTGGCTGGGTGGGGGGTGGGGGGGCCAAGAGGGTCACTGAAGCGCCTGGGAGTTAAGCGGGGACGGGTCCTGCGGGGTCCAGGTCCCATTTTCACCCCTGGCTTGAAGCCCCTATCAGACACCGAATACAGAGCCTGCGACCGAATAGAGGCTGGCCAGGAACGTCCGCTGGGAGAATCTCTTGGGGGCAGGGAGAAGGTCCCAGAGAGCTGCTGGTGGGGAGGGAAAGGGGCCCAGGGGCAAAACAGCAAGTGGGCGAGGTGGTGTGGCCCAGGGAGGGGCGGATTGCGGGGCTGCGGAGCGAGAGCGAGGTGTACTGGAGTGCTGGAGGAGCGCAGCGCCAGTGTAGGCCTTGGCGAGCCAGAACCTGTAAATTAAGGAGACTTCCACATCAGGTAGGAAGGTGGAAATGGCCAGATCGCAGAGATACGGTCTGTCTAGAGGTCTGTGCACTCTGACAGTGGAGGCTAGGTTTTGGGGGTAGGGGACTTAGGGTTATGTAGGTACCATGTGGTTAGGTCATTAAAAGCTTTGAATGCTGGCGTAAGGAATTGGGATTTGCCCTCGCAGGTAGAATCTATGGCCTTCTGAGCAGTAAGAGTAGTGAGTGACTTAAAGGTGAGGTTATCTGTGTCTAACATTACCACCTGCCATTCGGTCTTTGCCAAAGAATTAGGCATTGATGTGCTAATTTTAATAGTCATTTAAAATCACATAACTGCATATATCAAGCTATTAAATGTTGACGTTTTAAAAAGAGAAAGAGTTTAAAAGTCGGATTCAGTGTTTTAACACCCACAGTGAGGCTATCAAGATTAGTTATATGGCACTGCCATGCTTTTGTGTCTTTTTCCCCCCTCGCTGACTTGCATGAATCTGTGTTTGTAATGCCTCAGTTCTGTATAAGCACAACACCTCTCATTTCCCCCTCCCTCATCTTACGGTCTTTGTTTTTAAGCTTAACTTTTCTCTGTGCAGCCCTATAACCTGTCCTGTGAATCCTGAACCAAGTAAAACATTTGTTGGGGGGGGGTGGGCATTAAGCTACAGTATACAAAGACAAACAACTCGGTTTTACCATATATATTAGGTCACTTACTGTCTTCTGTGGACATGTGTAACTATGAAGTTTCTATATTTACCCTGTGACTGATAAAAAGAGAAAGATAAATGTGTTTTATTCACAGTAGCATTTCTTTAACAGCACTTATTAGTCTGATTTCTAAAATCAACTCCACAATGGTATTTTGTACTTGTCTCAGAAACTGACACTAATTCTGTCATGATCTTTATAGTTTATTTTATTTCGGGCCAAAGGCAATTCTAAGGAGCAGGATCTTTATGATTTATTTTAAAGATCTTTAAATCCTACAGTTGCCTTTGGCCCCAGACAAGAAAATCTGGGTCAGTTAATTAAAAAAAAGAAAATAATTTCCTACTTTGGACGCTGTTGCTTTCTCCTCTGCTGTTTTAGTCCCAGCCCTACCTTATTCCCAGTGGCTTTTGCCTTCATTCCTTCTTTGCTCTGCTGGGCATCTTTAGAGGAAAACTTCACACCAACTTCCCCTACCATAAATTCTATCCCTTCCCTCAACTCTACACTTCTCTTTGCCAACATACACCACTACTTCTTCATTGATTTTTTTTTTTTTTTTTTTTAAGCCTACAGCCCTTTCTGGCTCTTTTCCATTTTTAACACTCTTGTTGAAATCTTCTTTTTTTCCACCTTTCTCTTTGGTAAGACCTTAGATTTTTTTTTTAAAAGGTTGGATTTTATTTATTCTGTATGATCTACTTCTGTCTTCCTTCCTCTCCTCTCACCCTTTTCTGATTCTGGACTGTTGGGAAAGCCTCTTATGCTTGCTTTCACCAAGGCTTCAACCTTCCCCTTATGATTAAGCTAGTCTTCCTCTAAGACGCTTATGTTTCCACTATTTTTCCTACAAGGATAAAAGTTTTCAAATTTATATCTACTTCTGTCTCTTCTTCCAGTATTTTGCATTCAGAAGCATGACATGGTCAGTTGTAGAGTCCGTTGGATGACTCCACTTAAGCTTGGTGTGCTAGCCACTGAAGAGTGAATTTCACAGTTTTGGCGCCAGATTCCTCAGTGTTGACCAAGAAAGGATGTTACCACATGCGTGTGCATGAATTCTCTCATGTACACATAAACACTAAAATGCACAGATAATGTAACAAGTCAGTACATGTATATGACTATATATTCAGTATGTTACATTATAATCAAGCCAAGTACATTTTGGGGTGGAGGATGAAGATAGGTTAAGTTCATAGCTAGGATAGAAAGTTAAGAGACCTCATCCTTTGGCATTCTCTATTGAGATGAGAAGGTTGAAAGAAGCTGTTCCTATGCAGATGAGGAGATCACATGAAGGAGATTGAGTTTCAGGAGTTGAGAGAGATGATAAATAAGACCGTGGGTGAACAGCAGGGGAATGGGATGGAGGGGCAAGAGTTCCAAGAACATTCAGTTGCTATACTTAGCCTGGTGTTCTCTTTGGCAGAGAATAGAAAAGATCCTCTGGTTCTAGTACTGATTTCAACTGTGGTCAAGTTTCCATTAATAACCTGTACTGAAGTTTTCCCACCTTGTCTCTGAACCATTGGTACCATTCTTAACAAGTTTGTGTAATTTTTTTTCTCCTTACAAATTACCACATTCATGATAGCCTGTACCACCAGTAATTAACCCCTAACTAACCACCATTAATGTTTGACTAAATTCCCTGTCCATTTAAATGTTTTCATTGTTCCTGCCTGCTCTATAGTCTACTTGTGGCAGTAGTGACTTTTAAAATTGTATTTATGACTGTCACTTTTATCTTATTTGTAAATTGCTCTTTTCTTAAAATTATAGATTCAAAACTAGATACTTAGAAGGAATCTAGTTCTTTGTTAGTTCTGAAAGATGATCAAGTTGGTCTTTGCTTGACTGTCTCTACTGAATGAAACGGGTCACTTCCTTCTGTGGTCAGAGGCTGTCCCTTCTACTGTTATCTGGCTTTAGGTACTAGAGAGTTGTTAAACTGAAATCTGTCATGTTACGGCATCTCATTTCCCCCCTTAATTCTGCTTTTTGAAACAACATGGGGAAAAAATCTACTTGTTTTTCAATATGGCAGCTCTTTAAAGATTTGAAAAGGGTTCATTTTTTGTTAGCTATTTGTCTAAGCTTTTTTCTTTACTCCAGTGCTGTCCAGTAGAACTTTCTGTGGTGATGGAACTGTTCTCTGCCTGTCCTGCCTAATCCTTAGCCACTAGCCACATGTGGTTTTTGAGCACTTGAAATATAGCTAGTGTAACTGAGAAATGGAATTTTAAATTTTAGTTAATTTAAATTTAAATAGCCCCTTGAGGTGAATAACTTATGTTGGTACAGCTTTAAACTCTGGGAGTTAGTTTATTGTCATATGGCTTTCTTTTGGTTGCTCCGGAAATCTTATAGTCACTTCAAACATGGTAAAAATGTATGTAACTGGGCTCTTGATCTGCCTAAAGGCCAATCTTACATGTTGTCACAACTGAGAAAAAATGCAGACCCAATCCCCAAAGTAAAGTCAGATTTTACTGAAGGTTCCTTAGAAGGGGTAGAAGATAAAGGCTATATCTCATCTCTCGTACCCCAGAAACAATGCTTAAAAAAAAAAAATCCTCATTTAATTTCTCTTTCCCAAAGAAAAAGAGCCCTTAAAGTCCCTCTCCCTCAAGTTGCTACCAGATCTCTCCCTTATCTTTTCTCTTCTCTCCCCAAAACATCTTTTGTCCTTCTCTTTGAGTCTTTTCTATTTTTTTTTTTGAGCACGACCATCTTCTCCTTTGAGAAGAAATCTTAGGGGTGCCTGGGTGGCTCAGTCACGTGTCTGCCTTTGGCTCAGGTCATGATCCCAGGGACCTGGGCTTGAGGCCCACATTGTGGGGGCTCCATGCTCAGCAGGGAGCCTGCTTCTTCCCTCCCTGCCACTCCCCTGCTTGTGCTTGTTCTCTCTTAAATAAATAAGTAAATAAATAAATAAAATCTTAAAAGAACAAAAAAAAAAAGAATTCTTAGGTGTGCTCCTCTTTCTCCAACTTCCCTTCCCTTTCATTATTTATTTTTATTATTATTATTTTTTAAGATTTTATTTATTTATTTGACAGACAAAGATCACAAGTAGGCAGAGAGGCAGGCAGAGAGAAGGGGGAAGCAGACACTCTGTCTGCCTGTACTTGCTCTCTCTCTCTCTCTCTCTGACAAATAAACAAAATCTTTAAAAAAAAAAAAAAGATTTTATTTATTTATTTGACAGACAGATTACAAGTAGGCAGAGAGACAGACAGAGAGAGGGGGAAGCAGGCTCCCCGCCGAACAGAGAGCCCGATGCGGGGCTCGATCCCAGGACCCCGAGATCATGACCCGAGCCGAAGGCAAAGGCTTAACCCTCTGAGCCACCCAGGCACCCCAAATCAAAGAACTTTTAAAGGATCATCTTTCTTTGGGTGAAGGTGGGGGAGGAAATTAGGGCTAGAAGATCATAAAAAAAATATTTTTTCCTTTCTCGCATAATTTCCAACCTCCTTCTAGGAGTCTTCTCATTTTCTTACCATTGTTTAAGAGTCTTTATTTAGCTTTCTTTTACAAAGGAATCTCTATTGTCTTTTTTCACTCCGGATCTGTGCTTGATGTATCCTAAAGCTCCATCTTTACAGTTCCTTTATCCATTTTCCTTTCCTTTTCTTTTTTTGCTTATGTTATTTTTAATAGGTTTCTCTTTACCAATCCTACATGTGGAGAGAGGCTGCGTCCATTGAGGGAGTGGTGTTCATTGCTCACTGCTGTCACCCAGTGCCTTGTCCTCTCTTCATTTCCTTCTTGGCTCACCATCTTTGTCCATACCTACCTCCCATCATTGTCTGTTCTAATTTTTGTTCATTTGTTTTTGTTTTTAAGTAGGCTCCATGCCCATTGTGGGGCTTGAACTCAGGACCCTGAGATCAAGAGT